AAGACCTTCTCAGCCCAGCTCAGATGGTAAGTGTTAATATTAATGAAAACGTGGTGCAATTAAAGAAAAGTTATGTATGTCGTTCTTTTGTGCAAGATCCTTTAGGAGGGGCATTTTTCGTTTGTAGCGTTTGTGTTTCTTGCCAGGAAGTGGTTTATTTTTAAAATAAATCAGAAGCAATATGTATTTTTTTGCAAGTCTTACAAATAAATTAATTTTCAGTTGTTATCCGAGAGGGATCAGGTGAATAAAAAAAGGGAGATGTGTTTATTTATTTTTGTTTTAATGAAAAATGTGACATAAACATAATAATCTGTTATTATACATATACAGGGTGGTCCGATTTCCGATTTGTGTATGTGTGTTCATATCGAAAGTAAAAATTATATTTTTATTAAATAAATTATAAGAATGGGTATATTTGCAGATCCTTGCTACGATTTTTTTAATATCATGAAATTCCACACCCTTCGAAATACTTCTATACCAATTTCTGTGAATATGTATAAGTATATGTATATTCATTTTTTAAATTCTACAGGCTGTTTCAGATCGACCTCCTGAAAATACAGAGGGTGATAGTACGACAAAAAATAAGAATTTTTTGTCTTATGAACTATATGTCTATCTTCTCTTCTTTTCGAGATACAGAGCGACAAATTAAAATTAAAAGAAAAACAACCTGTAAAAAATTAGAACTTAAAATGTAATAGGAACTTAGCATAACTAGCGCCAAATATCCAAAAAATAATTAGACCAGCGTATTTGGCATCCTTAAAAACCCCGAAATACCAAATTTCATAAAAATATTTCGCACCGGTTGAAAATTTTCGTAAAAATTCTATTTAAAAAATTTTAATTTGTCGCTCTGTATCTCGGAAAAAGAGGAGATAGACATATAGTTCATAAGACAAAAAATTATTTTTTGTCGTACTATCACCCTTTGTATTTACGGGAGATCTTTTGGAAAAATCATGTATATTAAAATTTTGAAAATCTAACTATATTATTTTTTGCTTATTTATTTATTTATTTTTCGGAATTAATGACAATTTTGAACGTCTGTACAATTGATGCTCCGAAGGTAAATTTCTTGCACAATTAATTTTTATAATTAAAATAAGAAAAACTGCAAGCTAAGGGTTGTAGGAAAAAAAATTTAATACCTACGATTAATTTTTCAAAAATTGTCGGCTAAAAAATCTTTGCAGTTTTAGAATTTGCAATTTTGAGTTTTAATTTTCAAAATATGAGCATTCTTATAGGATGCATTTGTTATTTTAAATAAAACACTCAATATTATTAAAACATAGGACATTTGACGCATACCTACTTGAATAAAGTTTATAGCATCTCTCTAATCTAAGATATCATCAAAACAATGTTTATGAAGATTAATTGTCGCATAAGGGCTTGATAGTTTACTGGCAAATGATAATCTCTAATTTATTACGAAATATCAGCTATTTTTTACATATCTCTTTACTGTTATAGATTAGACTCATTAAATTCTCAATGTTTCAATTTATTTCTAACTAATAAGAGTTATAAAAAAACTATACTAAAGAATTTTCATTTGAACACTAAATCACACATCTAAGTGATATTTTCCAAACGTCAGGCTAGAATCAGAAGATTGGTACAAATTCCTCATGGTAGCTTGTCGATTTGAATTCATATTATTTGCAGTTTTATAACTTTTATATGAAATAAGTGTACATGCATATTTTTTTAACAGTTTTCCGTGTTTTAAAAGAACTACCACTAAAAAAAGTCCTGAGTCAAAATTTGGGAATATACAGAGCGGTTTTTTGAATTTTTATTGAAACTAATAATTATAGCTCTCGATCCATTTTTGGGAATTAATTTATTTGCGGATTACACATTAAACCACTACAGGCCGACATACTCTTTGTTAGAGTTCCAAAATTCCAGGATCGTACTGGCAAAATTCCTCTAAAGTAGGCTTTTCGAAATGTTTTTTCTGTATATTTTTGTGTTGTTCCGAAGGTAAATGGAGAACGGCTTTTACTGTCGTGTATAGTGTTTTATGTTTGAGAGTGATTACCCATTACATTTTCCGCCGTCTCGCCTAAGCTTTGTTTGTTTTTATGCCGGATAATTCGGAAACTGACATATTTTCGGCAGTAGAAAGAAATATGAAAAAAACCGCTGTCTGTGCGAAATGCAGACAAACATATTTTCCCGTCTGGAGCAGTGCGGAGTGTTTCTATATAAGAACGGCTGTAAGAAATCCTGAATGAAAATAATGTTGCCGATACGTCGGCGTCGCCGCCTTACGATCGTGAATTTCTGTTCAATTTGTTACAATTTGTCATCCTGTTTATTGACGTAACTGCTTCCTGTTCTTTCAGTCAGCCACTACTTAGTGTAAGCATCTCGTTTTTGGGGATGTTTGTTTAGTTTCGCCAAGCTGCTGTTATTTGTTGAAAATAATATGTAGACATTGTTTTCTTTTTATAGTGTTTACACGAATATTTGCCCTTATGTTTGCCTATAGATATAAATGAATAGCAAAAACAATGGATATATTTATTATTATTAGGTATACGTTTTCGATTTTTTAAAATTTATTGCATATATAAGTAATTCTCATTAATGTAGATAAATTTTAAGAAAAATAATAAGTTGACATTTCGAATATTAAGAAAAATTATAGTTAAACATTTGATTATTTCATATCTACTATTCAAAAGTAAAAAATTGATCCACATTTTTTTTGTATTACTGATTTTACCAGAGATATGGAAAAATCTATATAAAATATATGTAAAAGAAAATAAAATGTTTTTTTAAATTGTACCGTTAATGCATCACATCTTGAAATTGAAGTTTATGTTGAATGTCCCAACAACTTTTTCTCATTTCCTCGACCTTCGAAACACTCTCAATTCAATGATGTACACTCCGTTCAATATTTGTTGAGATAGAATTCCAAAAAAAAATACGCCAATAAAGTTCTATTGTCGGAAATACTGTAACGATTTACCGTGGTAGGGGCATGCCTTGAAATTCTCTCTCTATTTGCTTAGACATTGTTCTTATTTGCTGAATAGAATAGTTACCTATCCTATCAGGTTTCTGTGAAAAGATAAGAATCGGTATTTCCAGATGATACGGAACATTTTTAAAGTAAAAAGTATATAAGGATATACATATAAAGAATATAAATTAATTGATAGGTGATCTTATTTTGTAATTTTAGTCGAACCTATTTGCATTTATAGCCTAGTGTATAATTAACTAATCAGACCAAGTCAGATTTAATTTACTTAAATGTGTAGTTAAGTTTATATTGAGTATATTGAACTAAATTAAAGCACAGAAAGTGTCATTTTCTAGAAATGATTTCCTGTAAATGTAGACAACTGTGAAAATACGTAGCAAAAGAAATATTGTGAAAGTGAATTCCCGAAAAGTATTTTTCACAACTTCAATAACTCTGTAACCAATTAATAGGTACATATAGGATACTAAACGAAAGGTATAGTCTTTCCGAAGTCAGTTGAACATGTATAAAAACGCCTAGCAATAAAATTGAATGAGTTTCATAGGCGTCTCTAAAAAAGGTTTCTGCTAAAGGTAAGAAATTATAATAATTTGTATATAATGTGTAGAAAATTTCTATTATACCTATGTTCATTTGGCCAACAACATATTTTAATTACTTATGTCCTCAAACAATTTTATTATATTGGTGGTAAATTTCGTTTTGTTCCGTTTCAAAAGGTCTCCAAAATGCCATGTTGTGATAATATTAGTCAACAAAATATCCCTCTTATTTCTCCCTTTCGCAATTGTAATATGAATGATTAATAGAGGGCGCCTATAATAAATTAAAATTACATGAATCACACCTAATTCCGCATTGCTGCACTGCACTGCTAAGCAATTTGTCACCCACTCGTCAACACCTGAGTTTTATTGCCCAGTCGCCCAGTTCGGCTGTCTGTGTACGCCGTTTGCCTGGTACATACTGCGAACCTCTTGGTTCTTCAATTGAGATCGGAAAGACTATAACACAAGTATCTAATTTAGTAGTAGTAATGTCGTGTCAGGTTATAAGGATTTTTTTTCTGCTCATACAAGAAAACAAGAATTTTGGATGGCACACAAATTTTTATGAATCTTTTTATAAAATTTAATTTAATCTCGATGAAATGCTTTTTTTAAATATTCCTTAAAATATTTAAAAAATAAATGTAAAATGATAACATTTCATTTCACAGATGGCATTTTTTATGTGACGAAAATAATAATTTTGTCGAAACGACTGATGTAAGTTGCGATATATTAATCTTGAAATAAATTGGGTATAAAATTATACAGGATGTAAGTAAAAAGATCAACTAAACTTTAATTACGTCAAAAATCAACAACAAAAAAAAACTGTCCTATAAACTTGTTCGGAATTTTTTCTTGTAAGTTATACTGTGTTAAAGTTCGAGAAAAAAAATATTTTTCTAATAAAACATAAGCTGAAGCGCTATCTTTCAAATTTAAAATGTAGCTTCAATTTTTGATTGTCCACACGCTGATATAGCCGTCATTATTATTTTTTTCCTCCGAGCTACTTCAAATTTGACTTACTATTTAGAATACTAAAAGCTTGGTAACAATGGGTTTTTGCTACATATAACTAGAAAGCACCATTATCTAGAAAAATGATAGGATAAGAATACATTTTTTTTACATTTGCATCTTCTTTTTTCGTTTTCAAATCACATCCTCATTTACATATTTTTTTTGGGAACTTTAGGGGGTAGTAGGTATCTCCTAAGGGGTGAACATTTTACTACGGTTATTTTTACACAAAGTTTTTCCTTTTAACTGTAGATTCGGTGGAACAACACCTTTTTAAAAACGATTAAAAGTTGGCAATTAATTTTGGTTCTGGTTTCGGCACATTCGTTTTTCTTTTACATAAATATCTATTTACTCATTTACTTTTGTAATGGGTACAAACAAGTCTAACTTAGTCGTTGTTTCAGTGTTACTAAGCGAGGAAATAGAAAACGACGACTTACAGTTCAAGACCTTAAAGATCACCGATTTCGGCCTGGCCAGGGAGGTGTACAAGACGACACGGATGTCGCAAGCGGGCACCTACGCCTGGATGGCCCCCGAAGTCATCAAGAACTCCACCTTCTCCAAAGCGAGCGACGTGTGGAGTTACGGCGTTCTGCTGTGGGAGCTGCTCACCGGCGAGACCCCCTACAAGGGCATCGACACCCTAGCGGTTGCCTACGGGGTAGCCGTCAACAAGCTGACGCTGCCCATACCCACCACCTGCCCTCAACCCTGGAGGGAGCTCATGGAGAGTAAGTACTCATTTGACTTTTTCCCATTGTTTAATTTTTATTTAATTTATTCAGATTTGAATATAAGTACATATCAAGGACCTCAATGAAGGAGGTTTATTGTAGGTACCAGAAACCTGGAAAATTGCGTAAAAGCAATGAAATCAATTAAGTTATTTTCTTCAGGAAGTTGATTTAAAAGCAACATTCATAAACATTGCGTATTCGCAGTAAATAAATAGGTAACTTGATGAATAGGGCACATGTCGTAGTATATTTCTTGGGAATTAATAAACAGATCCATAAATTATATTTTCCGAGATGTTTTTCATCAGAGAAAAGCCATCGGGCGCTGAAAATGGGCTACATATTTTATGCTGGAAAATATTATCGGGGAAACCTACCCCTAATAATAAATATCAATTTGTAAGTATACGCTTCCTTGGAAGTGGCTCATTTCTTCGCTTGATATTTCCGGGAAATTTTCCTTCGTAATGGGAAAGTTCCCTGTAAAAGATTTTGTAAAATTATAATTGCAATTATGTTTTATACAGGGGTTCTTTTTAAAGCTAATACAATTGTTTTTGTCATCATATTTTTTTCCATTTAAACCTATTGTCAAAAGAGAATTTTTATTTTCAAATCATTAAGAAAGACCCAAGTTTTCTTACCAAAATTGAGCAATTTTTCTTGAATACCTTTTTTAATCTAACCAGTTTCGGATACTTATGGTATTTGAGGCATAGACTTTCGTTTTTTTTTTTACTTTGAATATGTAAAACGTCTAAACTCTTGTCTAGATTGTCTTTCTGGTCTAAAACGATATTCTTAACAACTTGTCTTTTGTAAACACGATTTAGTGGCACGCGAAAAAGCATAAAGGATTATTCAAGGACTGGCAGACGATCTTTAGAGTTTATTGCAGTCACTAAGTTTTGCAATTTATCGTAAATCAATCTGAAGCGGACTTACTGCAGTAAAAATACAAAGATATGAAATATTTTGTTGTCTTTGAAACAAAGTAACGTTCTTTCCTAAATCATTTCCTGAGACATCTACTAAACTGAACAAAAAAATTAAAGAAGCAGAAAAATTTCTAAATCCTTGTAGTGATTTATTATTTTTTTTATTTTCTGTGCAATTATTTTTCATTGATTGTGGTGAAAAGTCTTCATTTTTTTTTTAATCGTACAGCGAATGGAAGATGGACTTTAGAAACCTGAATCAATCCTGTTCAAGGGTCTTTTGGTATGTTTGGGAATTTTTTTTTTTGTATTCAGAATTAATTTGAGAATGTACAAAAAAATTACTTATCCAACACTTGTGTATAATGATACTATAAAGGCCGTAGGACATTTATACCCATAACACACAAGTATAGTCTTTCCGAAGTCAGTTAAACATGTAAAAAAACGCTTGGCAATAAAATTTAATGGGTTTCATAGGCGTCCTTAAAAAAGTTTTCTGATAAAGGTAAAAAATTATAATAATTTGTATATAATGTGCAGAAAGTTTCTATTATATGTTCAATTGGCCATATTTTAATTATTTATGTCAATTTTATTATATTGATGGTAATTTAAAATTACCTGAATCACACCTAATTCCGGATTGTTGCACTGCATTGCTGGGTAATTTGTCGACCACTTGACAACGGCTGAGATTTATTGCCCAGTGGCCCAATGCAACTGTATTTGTATTTCGTTTGCCCGCGCTCGCATTCTTCAACTGGGGGTATACATTTCTACCACCTCCACATTTAGTTCGACCAGACCTGTATATATTACAAATTTTTTAAATATCTCAATGCCGAGTTACTGCGTCAGCGACCGAAACTGGTACATACTGTCATCTTGGTTCTTCAATTGATATCGGAAAGACTATACCATAAATAACTATTTTTGCTGTTTTGAAAAATCAACGACTACTTTGCAAATATTGCGAAAAGTACCTATGTTTGTAGTTCAATACATGCCCATAATGTCTGTAAATTTTGAAATCGATCGGTCGAATCGTTTTCCTTCCCTGAATCGTCAAAATTTTATAAAAAATTAAAGAAGCGGGTTTTATTGGTCCTTAAATATTAATTAATGATTAAATTTTTTTGCGTTATTTTTCGAATACTAAATATCGAAAAAGAAATTCAGTTTTGAACAAAAAACCAATTTTTCAAAATTAAAAACAATTTTTGCGTCCTCTTTTTTACAATTTTTTATTGAAAATTTCAAATGTCGATAAAAAAAATTATTTTCTATTGCATCTCAATTTTACATTGAATATTTCAAATGCCGAGGAAAAAATTATTTTCTTTTTCATCTCAAGATTTCAGAACTAGAATCTTCAAGCTTTAAGATGCTTCTTTTTTTTCTCGATACGAACATTATTCACGAAGTTACAGCTTTCAAAAATCACTAAAATTTCTGCTCTTTTAATTTTGTTGCTGAGTGTATTTTCCAAAGTTTCTTTTTCAAACTGACCAAAAAGGGTTTTTGGACAGTTTAGTCTAGTTTTTGTTTATGATCAGCTGTTGACGAGCTCCTAGCTATTGATTTTAAACGTTAATAGCGAAAACAAAAATTGAAAAAAATTACAAAAGCTTACGTAGGTAATTATTATGAGAAAACTGTATTGCATCAAGTTTGAAGTGTATGTCTTCAATTATCCTTGAGTATTTCTTTTTTTTCCATAAAATATTACTCTGTTCTTTGCTTTGACGAGAGGAATCAGTTCTGAATAGTATATTGTCTCAGATGGTATTTCTCAAATACATAGAAGGATTTACACAACAAAAACATTTAAAAAATGATTTTTTGTCTCGATTTGTAACACTGTTGTAAAGAATTGGTCCACCTATTCATTCACAGAAGACAACTAGACGTTTTTAGTTGACTGCTGTTTTTCGCCAGATTTTCTTAAAGCACGCGTACTTTACACATTTCTTCTGGGACCACCTGCGATAATTATTTTTCTTAAACAAACAATCTGCAATTACGCTGGCTATTGTCTTTGCAAACGCACCACCACTCGCGCATATTATTATGCAAATAAACGTTGAGAAATCCGAAGGTACCTGGTAGCATTATAAAGTCAGTGATTTAATATCAGAAGTTTTATGGCAGCTATTAATCCCACTAATTGAATATATGCAATAAGTGTATACAAACAGCATTGGGTAATTACTACCAATAACTGTGAAAGCATAGATTCTTCGGTTTATCTTCCGTAAAAATGCCGCTGTTTATACGCTTACAGTGTAGCCACTACCAAAAACGGGGTAGTGGAAGTATTTAATCTAACAGGAATATCTAAGTGGATACGAATATTGGAATGCGAACAATTTTAATTGTGCAATAATTTTCTCATTCCTCGGTGGATTTCTTGGCACTGAATTCCTTGCAAATTCGAGTGCAAAGGGCACTGATGATATTTATTGATATGTCATCGAGGCAGTAATGCATACATGTGGTGTAAGCGACCTTGAATAATTATCTGCTTCAGTGTGCAACCATTCAATTAATATCGGAAAAGAAATTGTTTTACTAGACGGCAGCCTTGTAAAATTAGACGTGTTTAGTTTTATTTGCGACACCTTAAGCCGGTTGCGTCTAGCGCTTGAATTATCCTATTTTGAATATTTAGAAGAAAATATTTAGGGTAAAATTGTTGCAAGAGAGTTATTTATTTGAGAGTTTTAAAAGAGTGCCCCTTTTCGGTCAGAAAGACTTTGGTATTCCTAATGTAAACAGATTGTTGGTACTTTCCAAGAAAAAGCCATTAAGATAAAATGACACGTTCCTTCTGAAGGTTCCATCATTGATTTTGGAAAAATTGTAGTTATCAAAATCTACTAAGTGACGGATTATGTTATTTAAGAAGATGGATAGTATTGTATCTTTATCATGTCAAACAGAAATTGTTATATACTTTAATCCCAAAATAAACAAGATTAACATTTTTGTTTCATAAAATGGCTATAATCTTTCAATGCAGTCATCTAAATTTCAAAATAAATTTTTCCATTGACATTCAATTATACTGTTATGAGTAGGCTTAGAGCACGTGCAGAGTCTAACAGAGCCGGCGCGAGGGACGGTGGCCTTCACAGCTGACTCGCGTTTTGAACTGTTCTGTTATTTACGGAACCTTGTAGTAGTTGGTGTCGTGTCGATACCTTTCTTTACGTCTGTTGTCTCTATTTAAATAACTATTTATAAATAGTAACATAATTTACATTAACAACTATTAGTTGGGGGGAAAAGTGAAGTAAAACGTCAAAAGAGAAAAGAAATAGATGGGAATTATTTCAAATGCGGTTTGACAGTGATCCCGAAGGTTACAGGGACATACGTTTTAAAGGAAATGACCTGTTTTGTACTGTGTGTGAACGCATTATAAATTCTTGTGACGAGACATTTGAAGAGCCATGCCTCGTCCAGCGCGTATTTTTCTGTGAACTTACAGACGCCTTACTTTCAAGCAATATTCCATTAAACAAACTGAGAACCCCAAGTTCCGTAATTCCGTAAATTGCAATCACAAATAAAATTTTGTAAAGAAAAATCAAAAAGAGTAGTTCGAAAATGATTTAAAAATACACTTTGTCCACTGTAAAACCTGACCTTGCTCAATGCGACCGGCATGGCGACACAGTGTGATACAAACGGACAAAAACTTGGAACAATTTCGCAAGGTAAGAAATAAATAGAATTTTATAGCACCTATTTTATATCAGTAAACTCAACTGCATTTGTGGTTTTAAATAATAAAATAATTTGACATACCTGATGTTACAACAACTGTTGAAAGTGTTACCTTGCTTCATCACAACACAATTGCTTCACCGTAATACAAATGTTGTCTTGCTTCACCATAAATTAAAACGATATCCATCAACACCGAGTTGCTATACACACAAGCCATTGACACTACAAAAAAACTACTGTAAACACTATCTCAACGACGATTGTAAATTCGGATTTCAGTATTCGGAGTCGCTGAGGCCACGTGGCTGTCCANACAAA